GTGATTATTTTTTATAATGCTACTGGAACTGTGTTGGTAATATTTTGTTTGTATTGGTTCTGTTATGTAGTTGACATGGAAGACCTCTGGGTTCTCAACTATGTCTTTTATAACCATCTTTTTTTCACAAAAAAACACCTACAGTTCAACAAGGGCCTTTAAAGACACCTTAAAACTAAATCTGTCCTTTATATTTTCTTAGATCAATAAGTCTGTGGAAAAAACTTTCATATCAGGACATCTCAAAGTGAATCAACTATGATGTTGCTGAATTCTCTGAGGTAAAGTGGTGTAAAGTGGAGGTCACAAAAAAAAAAAAAAGGAAAAAGTTTAACGAGAATTAACTATTTCCCAGTTATAAGAAATTCACATTCCAAAGATGAAACTGCACATGTTCCTTGCAAATCTTTTGTTCTCACTGAATTGACCTAAGAATTAGTGAAGTAGATTACAGCATCACCCACTAAAAATAATCATGGACATTTATGATGAACAGGCATGGATATGATAAGTAAGGACAAAAAGAAAAGGAGGAGCAAGAGAGAGATGTAATGTGACAGATAAAAAAATAACCTGAAAATGTAAGTATTTTATATCAGTTTTAAATAGATTACTAAATTTGAAATTTCTGTCGCTTTCACACTGACAGTGTATCTTGAAATTAACCAATAGATAAAAATTTTCACAAGTTGACACTGGAATTTTTTCATTTTAAACCTAGAGGAGTGGAATTGTCTTGTTGGTTGGGGTTTTTTTACAAGAACCATTTTTAAGTGAGCTACTGTTCTGCAGGCTGATTAAAAAAAAGTAGCTAGGTGGTGGAACAAAGGGGTTAATGCTTGTACTCTTGTTTTACAGCAGAGAATTTTGTAGAAGTATGTCAAAGAGTTCTAGCGAGGAGATATCTCTCATCTAGTTGGATAAGACATTTCTTTACAAGAATAAAGACTAAATTCTTCTTGGTATTAGGCATCATCTCTGACTCATCCTCTCTAACAGTTCAAATCAGAAAGAGAAAAAGTGTAGAGTGTCTCCATAACCTCTTTCAAATAGGAAAAAGTAAGTTGACCCCTTGTCCCAGATAAATTCAATCTAAAAATAATTCAATCTAAAAAATTTTTTTATTCCCTAGGAGAAACATTCTACTGAACAGGTTGATTAAGATTGCCAGTAACCAAGCTGTCATTTCTAATCAGGAAATAGCTAGTTGATATGAGTCACTAAATATTGTTCATTGCATACTGAAGAAAACTGATTCCCTCCTAGGTTACTCCAAATTTTCAAGTATACCTCCACTAGTTAATACTGTCAATAAAATACAGATGATCCAGGGCTCTTCAAATTTTTTTTATTATAGAATGTTGACATTCTCTATAATGGTAGGTTTATAAGACTTCTGGAGAACAGTGAAAGGCTGTTATCAATATCCTTAGATGGGAAGACATATCTATGGAAAGACAATATTTATTAACTGAATAACTCTATAGTGATTTTCTGTCTAATACTTGGATTTTGTCAATATAGTCTCTGATTAAAAAAAAATATCGAATTTAATATAATAAGAATTTCAGGAATTGCATTTCTATTCTTATGATTATTTTAACATATTATTATTCAGACTAACTAAATATTATTAATAATATGGCTTTTAATTTTACAGAGTCACTACTTATTTTATGCTCCCACTGATCAGTTGTATGTTGCTTATCCTGCTTCTGATATCTTTAAATCCTTTTGTTTTGTTACCTGTTATATTGTTCGGGGATTTAAAAAATACTGATCATTAAAATAGTGCATGATGGAAAGTTTTTCATTTATGTTAAACCCCTTTCCCTGAGGAAAACAGAAAAATAAACAATAGAAATAATTTTATGGTATCTTAAAGAATTATCATTTGAATCACCAGAGATGACCATTTGTGCAATCAGAGTTCATACCAATCACAGGAAATGTTAACTGTGCATTATTTGGGAAGGATTTACAGGATATCCGGTATTCTTCATGTATTTATTTTTTTTTAAAGGGACAAATAAGGATATATGTACCTCTGTATAAAAGCTGTCAAAAAAGATTTGGGTTTTGGTCATTCATTTTTGTTGGGGTCTTTTTGTTTGATCGTTTCTTTCTTTCTTTTGTTAACAAATTATTTTAGTTGTAGTTATTTATTTACTTAAATGTAAATGTTATTTAAAGTGTATAGAGAATTTAATATATCAATGTGGTAGAGCATTTATAAAATGTTAAATTTTTAACTCCTCTGTTTCTTAGAAGATCCTCCCTATCTTTTCTATTGGCAAAAAAAATTAACAAGACTAACTTATCTGATATAGTATGGAAAAGAACAAGAACCTTTTTCACAATAACTAAGTGGTTGGGAAGGGAAAAAAAAGGAAAATTAAAAGGAGAAAAACTTCATTTATACTTACTTACTGATGTGTTGCTGTAAGTGAAGATAAATTATTCAGTAAGGCCAATGTTCCAGCAATCTTTTAAATTCTTTAATTATTTAATTCTTTAAATTCTTAATTATTTTATTTCACTTTGAAATAATTTATTTTCTTTCCATCACAAAATTCTAATTGGTAGTTAGAATTACCAATGGATTTGAGGCTTATTCTGTAAAAAATAAGATAGGGTTGCTTGGGGTATTTTTTGTTTTGTTTTCTTTTTTTTCTTTACATTTTAAAATATTTCCTTTGAGAAAAATAAATCCAAAGTTCATCTTGACCTAGCTGATGAAGGTCTGAAATTAATCAAAGGTGATATGTGTTTAGATTCAAGGCTGAAAAGCTAAGACTGTCTTGAATTCTGAATAAGTCTTAACTAAAGTAGGAAGAAAAGCAGTCACCTTATGAAATATGTGTGACAGAGAGAAGAAATTGGAAAATCAATCCTGTCTACCTCATTTAAACATTTTATTTTCCTCCAGATGAATCAGTCCATCCAAAAAAAAGCATGTCTCCCATGCAAACTAAATTCAGAATGCCTAAACTAGATTTTCAAGCTCCCTTTAGAATTAATGGACACCTAACCAAAATAAAAAGGCAGGATACGTTCATTTGCTTAAATGTGCATATCTGAGACTATGTGAGATATCTCAGACTAGCTGTATTATTCATGCAGTGCTGGTAGACCTCATGATGCCAAACTGATGGAGAACTCATATCTCTATGGTGGCAACCAGAAGCCGGGATATCCTGCTATACATCAGCTGGCCAAGATATCTATGTTTGTCTCTTTCATACCCAGCAGTGCCTGGTGAGCTTTTTGGCTAGCTAAACATACCAATATCTTTACTTAGCATGACTTAAACAGCTATTCGACAATTTCTTTTTTAGATTTATTCTGCTTTTTCTGGAAAGATAGTCAGAAACAACTCCTCATAGCCACACAAGATTTAAAATATCTGTCTGGAGTTCATGGTTTCCAGGTCTAACAAACCCTAGCACTAACAGATCCATGCCATTAGTCTTTGACATCATTAAAGTATAAATATAGATAAGTAGCCAGGCAATGTAGTCTCTTCAGTCTTAAAATTTGAGTGGAATATCTGAGAAACAAGTGAAAATTTTAGGAATACTTTAAACATTGTTTTCATTTAGCTGAAAAACATTGTTTAAATTCAGGGAGGAAGTAATTTATAAATTAAATAAATACAAATGAAAATACTAAAATACACCATTAACCTTTAAGGAATCTGTAAAGTAACCTGCAAAAAAATAGTCATAAAAAAATTAAAAATGCTTTAGATCCATCTAGCTTTTTAATTGTTTAAGTTCGACTTAAGAACTTAATCACTTTGTCTTATTAAAAGCAATAGACATAAGCACCTTTTATTCAGAGATTTAAATTGGAATCCCCACCTCTCCCCACCATGATCTTGCCTGTTTTATGACCTCAAAAACTCATGAAAAGCCTTAGTCAAACCAGCTGAGTGGTAAAGCATCCCTTGACTGCACCACTTATGCCATGAAGCACTCTCTGATCATAGCAGGAGCTCTTGCTTGGTAAAGGTGGGAACAAACAGAAATATCCCCCTATACACACACCTCCATGCTCCTCAAGGTGCAGGCCTTGCCTGTTGGGAAACACAAAGTGTTTTGATATGAGTATTTCACTGATTTAAGGGAAATTTTTGATAGGTACATTTGCACACAAAGAGACGTACACACCATTTTACCTGTGTGCATGAGAATTGATTACGGTATGAATATTGCTATGTCAATTATACAGTTAAGTAATTTTTATAATTGTAGTTAACACTATCAAATTGCTTTGTAAATGTTGAAGTATTCAATGATTAAGTGCTGCTAAACCCTTTACACCCTTATCTTTGCATCCATATCCTTTGCATCTTTACCCCCTTTTGAATTCTAGACTTCTGTGCAAATAATTTGCTTTGAATTTGATCTTCTTTTCTAAGTTTTAAAGTGTGTAAAAAAGTAGTAGATTGACCCTTGCAATCAAACTCTGTAAAGTTGCATTTTCACATATTAAACCTCTTTTTGCCAATACCTTTTGTGGTGTTTCTTTAAGCAGCCAAAACACTGATTTGTGAGGCAAATGTCCTTTCTATTCTGAAGATTTCTCATAAAGACAGTGAAAGCAGTCGCTCTATAAATTAAGCAGATTGAGCTCTAGTTTATAGGTCTTCAAAGGTAATGCTTCTTTTAATCGTCTTTTCAGTAAACTTAATAATGCTGTATTGATTTTTCTGATAGTGGTAAAATATTGATGTGGAAGTTCTTAAGGTGGGCTCCCCAGTACAAGCTTGATTAATCCTTCAGAATACACACAAATTTACAGTTTATTAATGCTTTATCAGAAAATATTTACATTTGGTGTCTTCAGGAGGACCTTTGAAGTACATCTATGAAGCAGGTTTATTGCATATGGAAGTAACCAAAAAATTCAGTTCAGCCTTCCAATTATCATTATTATTCATCTATTTGTCATGGTTTGAGCTGCCCCCACCCCCCCCGGGGGAGCTGGAAGAGCAGTATATTAACTGGACCAGGTGCAAGTGGCCAAAGGCTAGGGTTTTTTATCCCCCCACTGCCCAGGAGAGGTGGTGACGTGGACTTGAAAGGCCTGCAATGGGGTTGGAGCTAGCTCCCCCCAGTAGGCAGGCTCAGTATTGGAGCCGAGCCAGAGGCAGGCCGAGGAGTGGCCCAGGAGCTGCAGAAGCAGCGGAGATCGTGCAGAGCTAGAAGAATTCCAGGTAGAGGATGAGAGAAAGACTCCAAGCAGTCTCACTACCACTTTCCCCCCACACACAACGGGGTGGGAGGAGGCGACCCTGAGTTGAGAGTGAGCAACAGAGAGAAGGGCCGAGGGGCTCGGAGGAGGCCCTATGTGAGGTTTGGGTGAGAGCAGCCGAAAACTGAAGGAGGAATGCAGGGGGAAGAGTGCCTCCCATGACACATAGAAGTCAAGCTGAAGCTGCAGCAGCTTGAAACAGAGAGAAGCTAAACCAAGCAGGTTTTTTCTGGGTAAGGACTTTTGGTGAAAACTATTTGGGGTATAAATACTGAGCAAAACCCAGAAATCCTGTACCTTGGAGAGCAAGAGTGGACATCTTACTCTCTGGGAGGAACCTTCATGTACTGGGGGGAAAGGACTCAAAAGCTGACCCCCTGTAAATCGTGATGAAGACCTGGTAAAACAAGTGTTCCCTTGTAGTCCAGGAGGAGACCTCAGCAGGGTCAAGCAGCTGGTGGCGGTAAAGAAGACCCCTTCCTCGATACCCCAGTGAGAGAGAGACTTTAGCTATCATCCTAGAGGGTTCTTCTTCTGGATTGATGTAGGAGAGCCCCAGAGTTGGTAGACATTGTATTAATACTGTGTATTTTTTTGCTTTTTAGTTTCTATAGTATTTATTGTGTTAGTAATAAATTTTGATATAATTTTCCTCATGCTAATAGATGTGTTATGTCTGAAAACCCCTCTCACATTGAAGCAAATGTGGGGAAGCTTGGAAATTGGATTTTTGGAGAGATCAAACCACAACAATGACATATGCTAAGATTTTTCTGAAAAGTCATGACTTCAGTCATACTTTCAAAAATGAGTACAAAGAATATTAATTTGAATAAATTAAAAATATAATTATTAATGCTGAAAAATAGCAGTTGAACCAAGTGTGCTATCTTTAATTAATTTTATCTTTGTCTTTAATCAATATTACAGATTTTTAGTTGTTTGGGGTTTTTTTCCCTTCTTTTATTGCAAAGCACCAGATCAGGACATAAATAAACTCATGTGATAAAATTTTATAAAAAATTAAGACTGTTTTGGACCAAATCTTGGGACTATTACGTTGTAGGAAGCAAATATATGCTTGCGACAATATAGAAAAACCCCAAACCACTTTTGTAAATTATTTACTTTTTAAGTAAGAGTGTTACAAGATAATTTGAGATAACACTGTACTTTTTAAAAACGACTATTCTGAGGACACATTTCAGGCTATTAAAAAAACACTGGGAAAAGGTGTCTGGTTAGAGGCAGTCATTGTAGACATTTCTGTAGAAAAAAAAAGGAGAATTCCAGTGGAATCAGACTTCTTTTTTGTTGTTTGTTTGGTTTTTTGTTTGTTAGGATTTAGTGATTAAGTATAATTAAATTTTCTTAGACTACCTCAGTGTTTTCCTTTAGTCAGTATCACTCACACTGTTACTTTATATGACAGTGGACCCCTGGCCTGTCATGGTAGAGAAAATGAGAGGGAGAATCTCTTCACCACTGAGTCACTGTGAAGCAATAGTTGGAAACAAACTGTAATTTTAAATCATCATTGCATCATTGCTAGCCTACCTTTTATATTTACAGGCATGAAAAATATAAGAGAATACCGTGGAGTAGTAAGACCTAATGTTAGACCTGTGGTTTTTGAAATTATTAGCTCCTGTTAAAAATATGCACAGGAACATTTCATTCAGATTCATATCTGTAACTGACTGAATCAGTCATGGAAAAATAGTTCTCTATTTTTAGAGGACTAGAAAAAAACACTATGTTTTAGTAAACAGAACTTTATATAGCTAATACCTATACCCCTGTTCTATTTTTTCTTTTTATTTTTTTTTTTATTTATATATAGACAATTTGTTTAAATCAAGGGAAAATGACCTTTGCTTGTTTGCCCTAAGTGAATAGAAGAGTATGAAACTTTGAGCTTTGGTTTTTCTTTTATTATTTCTATTATTTTTCATGTTTCATTGCTAATCTTTGATTCTAACCTTTAATTACTCAGTCAGTGTAAAACTGTAGTTAAAAATGCTTCAGACATTCTTAGAAACAGAAATTCTGAGAAATTTCCTACCACTGCCAGGAACTCCAAAATAAAATTTTCTTTATAACATACTTTAGGGAGCACAGATGTTGTAGTTCTTAACAAACTAGAATTCTGAAAATGCTATCCATCTCAAAGGTAATGCAATGGTAATGACTGTAATACATATTGTTTCACTTCCAATGCTAGTCCTACTTAACAGTCTATAATAAAACGCTCTTTGCATATTTCATGTGTAAATGATGATTTTAAAGCTAAGGGTAGATAAATCCTGCTTTGTGTTAGCTGTTTTGAAGGTGGGGGTGGCACTGCTTTCTAGAGCAACATGTCTGCTTTTAGGAGTCTGCAGTAAAGTCAAATATTATCTTCAGGTCTCTTCACACTCAATCCACCTCTTAATGTACTCCTTCCACCTCTGTACTTTCTAGAATTAATCCCACCAAGTTTCAGCAATGGCATCTAGGTCCTAAGTCCATCCAATTAGGTCTATCCACTCAGTGACATACACACAGTTTATACAGTGTAATTTTTGTGCTAGTGGGGTACATCATCTGGTCTCCAGCAGCCCCTTGCTTTCCCTTGACCACCAATGCAAAAGGCCTCTGTTGTCTGACCATCATATCTAATGATCTTCTGCAGAAATCTATTACAGATTTACATATGTCAAGTGATACTGGACACTGATGGTCAGGCAAGAGAACCCCATGCTACAGGATATATGTATAACCAGTGCAGAAGAGAAATGTTTGCAGCAAGTTGTTAATCCTGTCTGTATTATGTTTCTCTGGTGTGTAGTTCCATTGGCGGTTGAAGGATGATTGGTGTTTACCTGAGAATACATACTGAATTTACATATGGCTGAAATTAGTGTAGGTTAATTCCACTCCCAGGTTGATGTGGAGGGTGATGTTTGGCTTTTCTTTATGTTGTTTTTTTACTTTGTTTTTGTTTGTTTGTTTGTTTGTTTGTTGGGTTTTTTTTTTAAATAGCAAATACATTCATATCTCTAGCCACTGGACTTTAGAGCAACGTAAAAATGTTATCTAATAGGTACAAAATCTTTGATGGATTATATTATTTTCTTTCTCTAACTTTCTAACTAGAGTTTTATACATTCAGGTTGTGTGAAAATGCATTCCCCAAAACTGAAAAGATAAAACCAGGAAAAAATGCTTATTTTCTAACTGTATTTCTATCTGCCAATAAAATACACTAGAATTCAATGGAGTGTGAGAAAATTATTAAACTGATGGTAATATCAACAGTAGAGTAGAAGAAAATGCTGTTTTGGGCACTCTGCAAGACAATAATAGAACAAATACACAAATAATGTAAACACATTAAATGGAGTAAATCTCATACCTGAATTGGACATCTTCGAAAAGAGTAATGGGCACAAGAGGGTTTCAAACATTTTTTTAAGAATTCAGCAATCCAACATATGGTTATTATATTTTTTTCTGAAGAGTAAGGGAATTGAACACTTTTTAGTCTTTGCTAAGGAAAATTCCAAATTTAACAAAAGGTAAAAAAAGAAAAAAAGCAGAAATAAAACTCAGTTTTATTCCAGTTTACAGTAACCCAGGATTTATAAAAAAGCCACTTACAAAATTTGCAAACTTACAACAGTCATGTAAGTTACATATCTGAAATAACTCCTACTAGCAAGTGGAAAGAGAAGATACCAGTCTACTACTATTATTATTATGAAATGCATCAAGCCATAATTAGGAGTGATGGGATTTAGGAAACTTCTTGGTAGTTTGAATAGACAATTGTTCTTATAAAGAAAATGTGAGGCAAAAGTGACTACAGAGATTTCTCTGGAGGATTGATTTTGTATATGTTTATCAGAGCATTTTTATATTAGGTGCATGTACCTAATTTTATGTTCCTATTTTTTTAGGAAAAATAACATATTTTAAATATGTGTAATATTTATAACAGAAAAATAGTAATTTAAACAGTTACAATTATTGCTTAGTTTCCTTGTTATTCACAAACCTAAAGAATACTATGCTTTACTGAACTCTCAAAACACCTGCATTAAACCCCATGCTGAGAATATGGAACTGTCCTTTGGCTTTGATTGCATTCAAATCTACTCCTTCGGGCATGCACTAGTCTCTGTTTATGTCCAATATAATTTTTTAAAAAAAAGACATAATAGGGACCACATTTGCTTTTAATTAAGAATTTGTGCCTTTTCTTGACACAGGATCTTCATCTACAAACAATGAACAGACATTTGGCACACTAGAAAATGATCAGCAAAAGAAAGGATATCCATGCCATTAAAAGTTCTGTGAGTCAGTCTATCCCTGACTTTTTTGACTCAAACTAACATTTTCACTTCTGACACAAAAAAAAGTGCAATTATTTTTAATTGTTTTATTCATATTTTCTAAATAACAGACCATTATTTGTAAAGGAGATGTTTCTTTTTTTTTTACTGTAATCACTACTGTAGTTTTTCAGCATAGTATGAATCCTTTAAATAAGTTTCAAATCCATCTTCATGTGGGTTTTTTGGTTTTGTTTGTTTGTTTGTGGCTTTTGGTTTTGGATTTTTCTTAATAAACTAGGTAGCAGCAAGTTGGGTTTTGTCACATAATGGAACATTAGGAAAATACATGATGTGACACTAAACTTATTATCCTTTGACTACTTGGATGTATGGCATACAGTTCCAAATGCCTGACTGATCTCAGAGGTGATCTTCTAGGAATAAAAAGCAAGACTATTAAGCACAACAAATAAATAGTGCATAGGTCTTCTCCTATGTATCCTTTACTTGATACATAATAATCACCATGGTACTGACGCATATTACACTCTCTGCATTCATTAGACAGATAAACATTTTAATTAGGTGGGGATAATAAACTTTTGACGTTAGGTTTTATTTCCACACCACAAAACATTTTAAATGGCTATAGTTACATTTTAAAATACGTATTCAAATATATCTATTCCAATAAAACTTTTAAATATTTTTCTCTCCTTTTTTTAAAAACTTGAGGGGGATGTTTATTTGTTTTTTTATTTTTACACAGTGCACCATACTATCCCTGACTCTCCCCTGAATCTCCCAGATGGAGACTAGATGTTCCATAAGCAACAGCGTTTAGGTTTGTTTAGGTTAGACTTCAGTTAATTTAAAAATAAAAATTGGAAAATTCTGGGTAGGTAGGTTATAAAAATGTGATAAGGTAAACTGCATAGAATCAAGCAGTAACTAGAGCAATGCTACCATCATAATCTTGTGTGTAACTGGTGATTCACAGATTAAATTAACTGAAAATTAAATAATTAAAATCTGTCATTTTACATTTCATATACTGAGTATCAAGTGATCATTCATGATATATTCAAGTCAATTTTCTCTTAGATAGCACTTTGGTTTGTTTTTTAAAGATGAGAAAAAGCACAAAAATTTATTTATGGCAAAAAAATTATTAGCATAACAAAGGAAACAAGCTGATGCATGAAAATTAAACAAGAAGAAAAAAGAAGTTCAAAAGAAAGTTGAAACATTCCAAAACTGATAACAAAATGGTGCTTATTTTCAATATTAAGATTATATTGACTAAAAAATTCTCAGAAAAAGATTGTTTCATTCCTGTGGCACACTGTTATTAACTTGTAATTATTCTACACAGTCAGTCTGTCGTCTCGCATGCAGCAAGCTCCAACAGAAACTCCGTGACATCCAGAACAAGTGGTGGATCGATCTAGCTGAAAAAACTCAATTATACGCAGATACAGGTGATCACAAAGGTTTCTATGAGGCCTTAAAAACAGCATATGGGCCTACATACCAGGTACAAAGCCCTCTACTCAGCGCTGATGGTCAAACCCTTCTAACAGATAAAACCTCCATTCTGAATCGATGGTCTGAACACTTTCAGACTCTTTTCAGTACCAACTGTGTAGTCCAAGATTCAGCAATTCGGTCCATCACACAACAACCAGTAAAGTGTGAATTGGATACTACCCCCACTTTAGGAGAAACCCTCAAGGCCATACAGCAGGTGAAAATTGGCAAGGCAGCTGGGGTTGATGGAATCCCACCTGAAGTCTGGAAACATGGGGGCCTTGCACTCCACACCAAATTCCACGAGTTTGTGGTGCGCTGTTAGGAGCTTGGTGAACTACCATCAGACCTTCGCGATGCTGTCATGATCACTTTGTACAAGAAGAAAGGTGTTAAATCAGATTGCTCAAACTATCGTGGTATTACTCTGCTCTCCATTGCTGGTAAAATCCTGGCAAGAATACTCTTGAACAGACTAATACCCACTATAGCAGAAGGAATTCCACCTGAAAGTCAGTGTGGTTTCAGAGCCAACAGGAGCACCACAGACATGGTATTTGTCCTCAGACAGCTGCAAGAGGAGTGTAGGGAACAGAACAAAGGTCTCTATGTAACCTTTGTCGACCTCACCAAGGCTTTTGATACTGTGAGCAGAAAAGGTCTGTGGCAGATTTTGGAACGTTTAGGTTGTCCCCCCAAGTTCCTTAAAATGATCATCTCACTCCATGAGGATCAGCACGGCCAAGTCAGATATGGTAACACACTTTCTGAACCCTTCTTAATTAAGAATGGTGTGAAACAAGGCTGCGTTCTCGCTCCTACACTCTTCACCGTCTTCTTTAGCATGATACTCCAAAGGGCCACAGCAGACCTCAATGATCAGGACGGTATCTACATTCGATACCGTACTGATGGAAGTCTATTCAATCTAAGGCGACTGAAGGCCCACACCAAGACATTAAACTACCTTGTCCGGGAGCTGCTTTATGCTGATGACGCCGCCCTTGTTGCCCACACAGAAACAGCCCTGCAGCGTTTAACCTCCTGCTTTGCAGATGCTGCTGAGCTCTTTGGGTTGGAAGTCAGCTTAAAGAAGACAGAGGTCCTCCATCAACCTGCACCTCAGGAAGTCCCCCATCATCCCCACATCACCACTGGCCAATCAGAGCTCAAATCAGTCCAACAGTTTAATTACCTTGGTAGTCTCATCTCCTCAGATGGTAAGCTCGACGGAGAGATAGACAACAGGTTAGCTAAGGCATATAGTGCTTTTGGAAAACTCCACAAAAGAGTATGGCGTAATAAACACTTGAAGAAAAACACCAAGATCAGTGTTTACAAAGCCATAGTGTTGTCTACTCTCTTATACGGTTCCGAATCATGGGTCATCTACTGCCACCACCTGCGTCTCCTAGAACACTTCCATCAACGCTGCCTCCGTACAATCCTTAACATCCACTGGTCAGATTATGTGACCAATACATCTGTACTAGAGCAAGCAACTGTCACAAGTATTGAGGCCATGTTACTGAGAACGCAGTTGCGATGGGCCGGGTACATCTCAAGGATGAAGGACCACCGCCTCCCTAAGATCCTGCTCTATGGTGAACTTGCCACTGGCTGCCGCATGAGAGGAGCCCCGAAGAAAAGATACAAGGACTCCCTGAAACAACATCTCAGCCTCGGCCATATTGATCACCATAACTGGTCTACTCTGGCCTCAAATCGGGAGGCCTGGAGACACACCATCTATAACGCAGCTGTCTCCTTCGAGAACACACGCAGGATCACTCTCGAGGAAAAAAGGCAACGCAGAAAGAACCGTGCCGTGCAGAATACACCATCTAAGGAGTCTTTCTGCTGTGCCTTTTACAATCAGATATGTCTGTCACGTATTGGCCTCATAAGCCACCAGCATACCTGTAGCAAATGTGGATAGTGCCTTCCCAAATCTTCGTTTGCGAAGCCTAGCCATGACTATGATTCTACACAATGCAGTGAAAGAAGGTAGCTTATTGTATTTAGAGATCAAGATAAGTCTTCAGGCCAAATACCCTTTCTCTTTGCTTTGTGTTCTTTTACTGCAAGACTCTCAAAATACTTCAAGATTAGCTGATAATGCCTGAGATTCATTTCAGTCATATTTACCTCAGTAGAATTCACTAGGAAAAAATACCCTTGAAGGTGTCTGTTGCAGAAACATGAAATCTCATCTTCATTCTAAATGCCTAGCTTGAAAAAGTTAAGTCAGTGTGGTATAATTGAGGATGTTCTCTTTTTTTTCCTTTAGTTAAAAGTAGGACATTTTATTATATATAACTATTCTTCTAATAATTGAAACAATTTTAATAGTTATCTACGTGCAAATTCCTTCTCCCCAAAAATAAGCACAGTGACCAAATTATTGTTGAAAAAAGAAAGAAAAAGTGAAAATACATACTCTACACTATGGATCGGGAGTGAACTTTCAGCAACATTTTCACTTTTCTCTTCAAATCTGTGATTTGATTTATGACTATGTGTGACGGTTTTAAAGTAAACTGGCAGGAGAAATGAACCCAAATCAAGAGAGATTATAATGATCCATGATTTTAGGTAAGTGAATGTACATCGGGGAGAATGTTCAACTATAAGTCAAATAAACCCTGGGTAAGGAAAATTATTTACCTTCGTTCCCTTTTATTTTTCCTTTCCTCACAGTATTTAAATTTTATTTTCCACAGATAAAATAAACTGATTTGCTACCAGGTTATCATATGCTTCTGGCATTTCCTTTTTTCTCCTTGATTTTTTCTCTCTCATTTCTACTCTTCATGATGTTTCTGACACTATTTTATTTTATTTGCTTGCTATTTTCTCAATGAAATAATGCATTATAAAGAATCTACATATTTTCATATATTAGACTAAGAAAGATATGACATGATTAATTTATTATGGAATAATACTCAAACTGAGTATCAGGGAATCTGCAGATATAATCTTCTACACTATACGAGGACTTTAGCCTAGCAGTTGCACAACACAGCTGCCCCATAATATTTGAGTCAGTAGGTGGATTGTCAAGATTACATCTCTAGACAGTCTACTACTTATTACCATGATTACAATGCAATATTTCCTTCTCCAGAATCTGTAGTCAAGTGGTAGAGAGAGTCACTGCAAATTTTCTTAATCTTCCTTAAAGATTAATTAATTGATTCCTTTATTCACTGGAATTTAAAATGAATATATGAATTCTCTGCATGAGAAAGAAGATATGATCTGTTACTGATACTTGTGAGGATTTATACAGGAACAGGAGCCTGATGGTTGTAACTTGAAAAAGAATCACAGAATCAATTAGGTTGGGAAAGACCTCTGAGATCATTCAGTCCAACTTATGACCAAACACCTGGTCAACTAGACCATGGCACTAAGTGCCACATTCAGACTTTCCTGACCTCAAGATGAACTGTAAAGAAAGGTATGAAGGAAGAGCCTGAAAACAACAATAAAATTATATTTACATTAAAAATTGGGGTAATGTATATATAACTTCACAATTAGCACCAAAGAAAAGATATTTGTTGCACTTATGTTGATGCATACAAATCATTATGTACTAGCACCATTCTTTACACAATGGGTTATTTAAATGGTACTTTCTACAGAGTAGTGATTTGTCTTCTTCAATATTGTAAAATTAAGCATTTAATCATTCTGTGCCATAGGCACAGTAAATGGGGAGTTATCATGAGGAGTGGTATTGATGTTTCAGTGAGAGAATACCGAAAGCAGCTATTTATTTATTGTGTAAATTGAGATCATTATACGACAGAACTGCTGCAGCAAAATGTCCGTAGGCTACAGAAATCAAATAGATAACACAAGTATTCTAATGTCACATTAGATCACTGCAGATGCAAATAGCAAGACTGTTACCTAATAAAGTATGATTCTCTATTATTTGAATTTAATTTCTTCCACTTTTCTGTTTTATGCAAAACTTTCAGATTTGTATGAAACAATTTAATATCTACTAGGGAATTTTTTTCTGTCAAATAATTTACAAAAATGTTGGAGTTCACAAAAAACTGCACTCTAGAGGGGAATAGAAAACAGTAAAGACTTCAAAAATACTTTCTGATAGGTATCATAAAATTCATTATCATACAAATGCACACACTGTTCTAAAAAGAAATATAATTTCTTACAAAAATCCCATAATATAGATTTGTGCCAGAGTAGGGTATACACTATTTTAAATTCTGTGAGTTTTTTGTGTACTTCACAGACTCTAAGGATTTGATCACACTATTTAGCATGAGAAGAGCTGTGCTATTTTGAATGAAAAAGAACCAGCACTTGAGTGTCTAGAATTTTTTGAGACTATTACCCCGGTTAATACTCTTTGGAATCAATATTTACACAATATTTAGTCCATGAGTTGGTTATAACTATTAGGTTTCCCCAT